AAAAGGAACTACCTGAAATTCAAGTATATTCATCCATGTAGTGATTTCAAAATGTGGTTTCACCATAACGAACGCTACATGGTCTTCCTGTACCCCCTTAGCTTTTCTCCAAAGACATGCATATTAGGTTAAATGATGATTATAAATTGGCTGTATACTGAAAATGGTACATCTGTAGATGTGAATATGAGCTAAATAAAGATGTGATTTAAAACATGTTGAATGCTGAGCACAAGACTTGAAAAATGCTACATAAAAGCCATACCAAATGCATTTTTAGGCCCATTATTTACAGTTTAGCTAACTTCAGGTTCATTCAAGCATACTAAACAGGGACAGGAGAGGCTATGTGTTTCTAACAAATCCTAAATTTGGCATGCAGTTTATTTCTCACATTGGAAGCTGCTATCTGAATGCATTTATAGCGCAGACAAAGCAACATCAGTAGCCAAAGTTTTGTTGGCTACTGTGCCTAAGATGCTATCATGTAAAGGGTGTTTTCAGTTGTAGTGCATTACATGTTACACATAAAACCCAACAACTAACATTTACTGAACTGTGAGCTAATGCAAATTAATTGTTTGACAGAATAGTCGCTAAAATGAGTTTAAAAGGCTAAACTGTAACTTCCTTTGTCCTCGCTGTGCTGACAGCAATGATAATTATCACACATCCAGATCATGTTTTTCTTGAAGAAAGTACAGTTTTCCTTTAACTAACTTACAGCAGCTTACTGATGATAGAACTAACTACATACCAACCAGTATCATATGTTCACAAAGACCTCACTGTTTTAAGATGTTCATTAGTATAAAAATATTTTGTTACCTTTCCTCTGGTTCTGTAGGCTTTGAAGATGAGAGTAAGAGTGAGAGGAAAATGTAACTACAAACTGTGAGAGGTGTGGTGGGTGGGCTGAAGATTTTCTGAAAATGAAACTCCTCTGCAAGGAGAAACACAATTCCACGTACTTTCAAACCTGTGTACATGCGCAGCTGCATAAAAAGGGAGACAGAAGTGAATTTCCAACAAAGAAAGTGTTAAAAGTACAAGTTATGGTCAGTGCCAAATTTAATGTTAAAGTATTTTATTCTCATCATTATATTATTTGCTCTGTAATTAAACCTTGATTGATGTAGAGTATTTGAGTTGTACTCTGTGTGGTGTAAACACAGGAGCTGCATGTGTCTGAATGCAAAGCTGTTTTAGAAGAAAAACAAATTGCACAGATTAAACAAAGCCTCTACAGAATAATGCAGTTGACATGACTGATTGTTAACGCCCATTGTTGTTTTGCACTCTGCCTGGATACTTCCTGGAACATTTTGTGGTTTCAGGTGTGAACAACCGCAGATTGAGCTGATGTGTAGAATCTAACAATGTTTTTCAAAACCGTTCACGTACAATGTCACTGCTTGAGTTTTATTAGATCTAACTTCTACTTTCGATACGGTAGACCATAATGTTCTCCTAATGTGCAAATTCCCTGCTGACTCGGCCTCAGGATGTCTAGAGGCAAGAATCAAGCGCCCCCAAATGAGCACATCAGTGATCATGTGCACATCACGCAGAGGGAGAGTGAGAGACGAAAAGCAGCAGCAGAGCATGGCAGTTGTATCGCAGTTTGTGTGATTCCGTGTGCGTTAATGAGACTACAACCATGCTTATAGTCACCTATACTGCATCTGCCACAATTATAAGTGCATATCTGGCTGTATCACAGTTGGATTTATCCTGGCAAGCCCTGCTGTAACCAGTTCTTCTGTGAAGCTTCATTAAAGACGGTGAACTAAACTCCTGGACTGCTGCAGTCTTTCTGACCGAAGACTTAGGCCAGACTTGTATACCCAGCACTTCCAGTATATATATATTCTACACCTAACAAGGAACATGAAGTTGGAACATGTAGTTGGCCTTAAAGGTAATGTTTTTTTATGGTTTAAATCGTATCTATCAGATAGATCCTTCTCTGTCACCATGGGGAAATACTCTAATGTTAATGTAGCAATGATAACATTTATGTAACACTAAACAAGTGAGTACAGGGTCTGATTGATTTCCTTTGACTGTGTTTTGTCGCCTTTAAAACACCTGTAAGGGTGTAAGCATGTATGTGGGCTACTTCCTTTTTTTTTTTTAAGAATCCTTTCCTGTCAGCATTTATTTAAAGTGCACTTTAACATAGTGTTAAATTACATTTGCATGCCTGTCTTGCACAAAAGCATTGATGCATGAAAGTGACGCATCTACAGCCCTTCCTGGTTTCTTACTTTCATTTCACAGGTAACAGACAGATGTACATTCTCTGTCTCATTTGGTGCACATCAGACAATATATGAAACTCATCAAACCCACAGGGTTGATCAGAAGTTTCTAATCTGTCAAAGTGTTTATGCAAATAATAATATGCTCTTCACACACCGTGTAATACAAGGATAACAGGATGTTTTTTACTACTTAAACAGTGAAAAACATGATTTATTATCATGCATGGAATTCATTAATATTATTATTTGTATACTTCACAACAACAGACATCTAATGAGACGTGTGAGTTTCTACCATTTTTTTTCACATGGCTGTTGCTCCACTCAAATGTCTTCTAAAATGAAAGTGTTTCATCTCCCTCCTCTGCCTCTCAAATGATTTCCCTCCAAATTTAGTATTAGTTTTAACTCCGCCTTTCTGGCTGTCTGTTCTTAACAGGCTTCATCAGATCTCAACAGTCTTTTAGTTATTTTTAGGAAGTGACATCTCTGCCGTGGCGGCATTAGTCACTGAGCGAAAAATGTAAGGCCACTTTTTTTTTTACATTCAACACACATAAAAACAACAGTTGAGTACAGAAAGCCTGTCACTTAACTATAAAGGACTGAAGGGCAGGCCAACACTGCCCTCTGCAGCAGTTGTTGTTGATAAAGCTCATGGTTAATATAAAGTCTCCTTATCATTGCTGAAAGGGCTGAGTTGATTACCATTTAGCAGAGGGGATCTCACTTTCCTTCCTCATTTCATGGCTGGAAGTTTTCCTGAAGTGTGTGTAAGAGCTGTTGTTGTAACAGCAGTGCCGTGACTGTTAGATTGCCTGAATGCAACCTGTCACAACATTATTACCAGGAGGAATAAAATGTGCTCCTCTCCAGATTAAGTATGTAGGAAGACGGTGATGACGCTAAATTAACAGCTCCTCCATTTCTTCCAACCTTTACCTCTCTGTTTTTTCTTTTTTAATGTTAAGGATCAGAACACTGTGTGCCACTCCAACAGGTTCAAACACAACCAAATTTAAATTAACTTGTATTTGTGTGAAAAGTTAAACAAGTGGACAGCAGAGGTGGAAAGTAACAAATTACAAATACTCTGTTATTGTATTTAAGCAGAATTTTCAGGTATCTGTACTTTACGGAGCCCCGCAGGGGACATGGGAAAAAAAAAATTAAGACGGACTTTTGCGAGATCTCGTAAAAGTCCGTCTTAATTCCAAAAGTCCGGCCCCTTTTTTTATTTCAGTATTTAATTTTCTGACAGCTTTTTACTTTTACTTGCTACATGTATTTTCTACCCCTTACATTTTCAAAACAGGATTGTTACTTTAGGTTCATTTACTATAAGTCAGCCTAAAGGAGTGCAAGTATCCGTATGTTGTGTTCACGGTACTTCTTTCACTCTAGCTAGCACAAGGGAGAAGGAAGCACACTTTTATAAGTGTCAGGTAATTCCAAACATCAGCAAACACACAATCTGTTGGTGTGAAGTTTGTCACACTGTGTGTTGCTAGCTAAAGGCCCGGCTGCTGTATTTCACAGAGGGAGAAAAGAGTGAGAGCTAACCTCACTCAGAGATGGAGGAAGAGATAAGAAAAGACACGACAGGAGAGGAA